AATTTCAATGTTGAAGCTTTTTCGAAGTCGTTTGTATTTCTAACTAAGAATCCATACATGCGATAAGCAGCTGTCAGAGTAGTGTCAATATATTTATTGAAAGAGAGGAGTGAATCAAAAGTAACACCTAGATCAGTGAGTGTGTCAGGACGCTACAGAACTTGATTGTTTATGACGTAGTTTTGTAATGTCAGATTCGGTTTTCAGTAAGTGAGAAATTACATTACATTTGGATATTTTGAGAGATACATTATTCTTTCGACACACTGCAGCAACACAATTTAAATTCAGACGTTCGCAATCATTAGAACATGTTATATATTGTGTTTCAGTTTTAAGGCATCTGCGTATAAAATTAAATTGACATTAATCACAGCTCCGATATCATTGATGAACATATTGAACAGTAGGGGTCCTAGATTTAACCCTTGTGGGACACCAGATGTAGCTACATATTCGACAGATTGAGGCAATTGAGTTGGACACACTGCTTGCAGTTGCAAAAATGCGATTTGAAGAGAGTAATTAAGTCATTGTTATAGTTTTATCTGTCAATTGCCCTTTGTTTATGTACTATTGTCAATTTTGTTGTATCGAAATGAACATAAACTCTGTTGCTGCGGCAAAAATTGTGGCGGCTTTGAAAAATGGCCGCGGTCAGCGGCAAACTGCAAGAAACGTATCTCGAATATGGTGGCGGTACTACGAAACTGGTCTGCTAACTCCAAAGCCTGATTCAGGGCGAAGCAGGACTGCAACAGCTAGGGATGACAGTTTTCTCGTAACTAGTGCTTTGAGAAACCCAACAGTTACGGCAGTTCCCCTTCGAAGTAATCTGCAAGAAGTCAGAAACGTAAATATAAGTGAGTGGATAGTGCTGCTGGATTATCTTTCCGAACTAGAGCTACTGGACCGCCGTCTTCCCGTCAACACTGGATTGCAAGATTGAATTTTTCACATGAACACTTGGCTTGGACACGGATTGGATGAATCGTCACTCTGCCTCACGAGATAGACGTGTACGACTATGGAGACGACCAGACGAGAGATATTTAGGTTAGGTTGTGTCCAAAGTGAATGGGTCTATTCGACCCTTCACCGCAACCCGCAAGGGTTTATTGTGACTCACACCTATTCACACTCGACCAAATAAACCCAGCTTCTTGACGAAGCCGATTAGTTTGTATGGTGAGTGATCTTTCAGGTCAGATGGTAAGAATACGACTCTGCCGAACTCAAAAAATCTTATTTGGTCCCCAGCGGGACTGACACAAAGTATATGCTCTGCTGTTTCATCATTAATGAAGTAGTCGGATAGTCAAAGCGCAAGCCGCGACAACCTTCCCATATGAGAGTTTTTGCACATCAGCTACACCTGACGATGCCTTAGATTCAACCGTGCAGGGCTTTTTCGCCTCTGGTTTTGGTTAATCATCACTTTAGCGCAAACATTTGCTAACCTGCTTATGGGGGGTTTGCTCCTCCACTTGAGACAGATTCTGCGCACGCCGCTCAAGAATTTGGTGCAAGGCGGTTTCATAAGGTACCCCACCCTTGAGGAGAAGCCTCAGTCGTTTCGTGGCTCCACCACCAAACCTTTTTTTAGATTCAGTTATTGGTTCAGGAGTTGGAGAGTTGAGAAGCTCTCGCTCCTGATCCAAATTTACAGGGAGGTCAGTTGGAATCGTAAGCTCGAAATCCATCTCCTCTGTAGACTCGCTCCTTATCTAAATTTACAGGGCGGTCAATTGGAGTCGCAAGCTAGACATCCATCTCCTCTGTAGGGGGGTAATATAATATAACCAGACGAGAGATCTGCTCAAGCATGTATTGCCGAGCGACTTCCATTGGGTGAATCTTCCGCAGAATGCAATCCAAAATCTTATTCAAATCAAGCTGTTATCACTGCAAGAGGAGAAAACACTCTTCACTGAAGCCCTTACATTTTTCCTTTTTCAAATAAATGTATATCAGATTAAATAAAAAAGCCCTCTCGAAACAGCTACTTTCATATAAACATTAAATTACAAGAAAGTAAAATACTTTTGAAACAACTACTTTTATATGAACACTAAATTATACAAAAAACACTTTTCTCTATTCAGTTTGTATTCCAAACTACAAACATTCATTATGGAATTGAATCAGATATCATTCACGGGATTGCAACACAATATAGTAAATAAAAGAGGTAAACTTTCACTTACATGGAACACTGTTTTCCTTTCTGAAGCTCTGGTCTATCAGATATATTCCTCAGAGCCGTAGGGGACTGTGTGGCATGGTCAAGTTATTAGAAACTCAAGTTTCTAAATGCAAAAAACTGTTTTCCTCATTGGTGGACATCGGATATTGGAAGAATCTCACATTTTTTGTATGAAAATGGAGAAGTGGAAAGCCAAAACATTACTTTGCCAAAAATTATTCTCCCCGGAAAATATACCCCATTCAATTCAAGTCGATAAGCTAATGAATACTGAACATTGCTCCAAACAAATTATATTTTTGATGCAAATTTGCTTTAATTTTTCAAATTCGCTGAAAAGTAACTCCAGTAACTCCATAATATGATTTTGGGTCAATTGCATAAAATTCATCTGCACTTTAATAATTACTTCATAAAGAGAAATTTTATATTCCATTTTCCAATTCAGATATCGGGCGTATTCGGAAAGCTAAACAGATCCATTTCCATTAATTTTTGCCCATAAGTATTAACATCTCTGCCAAATGATAATGCTTCAAAATGACCTTTCAAACAGCTTTTTTTCTGATCTGATTAGATTGTACCTAATACATTTAATTAACGAATAAATCAGTTTGGTATCTTTTTTTTTTTCGACTTACTTTTCGAATATCAATATTGAGGGCGATCTAAAAATTGTAGGCTAGATAACATGAATAGTGCTATAATATACAGTGTTATCCCCAAAGTATGCACCATAAGGAAGTTTGTGCATTCCCTAAAACTATACATGCACTAACAAAATACTGTAAAACACACGTAATATCGAGGAGCCTTCAAATATTTGATTTTGAGACAGGAGTAAAGTACTCTTATTTTGATAAATCTTGGGAAATGTTATTTGGAAAAGTTGTTCAGCATCAAAAAATACACCTAGATTTGAAGTCGTGGCCGTTTAAGTGAAGTTATATTTTTCAACTTTTTTTTTAAATAGGGACTACGAAAAAAATTGCTAAAACGGTAAATAGACAGCATTCTGTATACGACAGTTTATTTTAAAAGCCTGTAATATTACGAATTACACAACTATGGTGTTAACCACGATCAATTTTTTTGAAGAGTGAAATAACTCGCAAAGTTTTTGGTGCAAAGTTATTTATATTTTTTTAACACCAAAAAGTACTCAAAATTATACATTATTGTAACAAGAACTTGATATTCAATAATATTAAATCACAAAACATCAAAATAAAATAGGTATTTTGGAGCAAACTCATTGATTTTCTGGAGATTATTTTGGAGAACTATTTTGGACAAGAAAATCTCAGAAAATCATTGAGTTTGTTTCGAAATACTTCTTTTATTTTGATGATTTGGATTTGATATTATTGAATATTGAGTTCTCCTTACAATACTGTATAATTTTGAGTACTTTTCGGTGATAACAAAAAACAAAAAATAACTTCGCACCATAAATTTTGAAAATCATTTTACTGTTCAGAAAAATTGACCGTGGATAACACGATAGTTGTGTAATTGGTAATATTACAGCCTTTTGAAATAAACCGTCGTATACAGGATGATGTCTATTTATTATTTTATCAAATTTTTCGTAGTCCCCATTTTAAAAAAATGGATGAAAAAACAAATCTTCACTTACATGTTCATGGCTCCAAATAGATTTATTCTTTTATGCTGAACAACTTCTCTAAATAACATTTACCAAGATTTTCCAAAATAAGAGTACTTTGCTCTTGTCTGAAAATCAAATATTTGAAGGCTCCTCGTATATTACGTGTGTTTTACTGTATTTTGTTGGTGCATATTTAGTTTTAGGGAATGCACACACTTTTATCAAGAATAGCTTCTTGTCGGAAAATCCTTAATAAATAAGTTTCCCATATGGTGCATACTTTGGGTATGGCACTGTACAAAAGAAAAGAAATTTGGCTGGTCGTTCCAGCCAAATAAACAGACAAATTCTTCCGCTTTATTACTTTCGTATAGATATTAATTTAAACTAACAGATATAAATAGAATAATAATTGCGTTCTAATAATAACTATATTCAATTGATATGAATTTTTCATTCTCTGTGTCTTGGAGAAAGTAGAGGTTAAAATTCAAACGGCAGGTGAAATATTTCGTCACAGTGTTAATGCATTCAACGTATCGAATTCCGCAAGAGGATGTGTACAGTTCAACGTATTGGAAATTTCCATTATTTTACTTTATATTCTTCACGTTTGTAGACAACTACTCTCCATTATTTTCCAAGAAGAGATAATATTCTAAATCATTATAATGTAAAAATTTGCCACTTGAGAATTTGTAATTATTTGGATTTTGTACTAGAGATACGAAGTAAAATGTTATCATTATCTACTACTCTATTCGATAGAACATTGCTAAACAGGATATTCATGTTGGAAGTGATAGATATATTATAAGGAGAAATAATTTTTTTAGAAAGAAAAGTTTTGGTTTTCTACTTCTCCATCTTTATACGAAAAAATGTGGGAAACTTCCAGAGAAAGAAAGAAAGCCATTAATTTCAAAATAAACTCTTGAGATTATGCAAAGCAGTAAGTTTCAGACACAAATTGGGAGAAAAAGCCTTCTCTTTCAACTATTTTTACAAATTTGGTCATTTCTGAAAACTTTCGACCCATCCACGAAGATACCAGGTACCGTTGAACCTCAAGCTATGTTACTGTAATCAAGTCTTCAAATGCTCTGTATATTAAACCGACAATACTCTTCCATCATTTGTGTAAACCCCAAATCACTAAATAAATAAAAAAAACTGTTACAGGTATTAATGTCGCCTACCGAAGACCTGCCAACCAGTCCACCACCGTGAAAGGAGGATCAGCCGTGAATGCCAACGATGGCGACAAAAGCACCGAACACGACGGGAAGAGGTGTTCGGAAACATACAAAGAAACTAGTCCATGGTGGCAAGTCGACTTGCTGAGGCCGTATCCTATCAAGACGATAAGAATCACCACTAGAGGCTGTTGTGGGCATCAGCCTTTGCAGGATTTGGAAATTAGGGTGGGCAACAGCAGCACTGATCTGCAGAAGAACCCGCTGTGTGCCTGGTTTCCTGGAACAATAGGTGAGTCACTCAAGAAACGGTTTATTATGAGATTTTGTTGAGATTTTTACCGGACAATTTACAAAATTGCACTACCTGATTCGCTATGCTAATTAGTGCGTTATATAATAAACATTCGGATCAAATGACCTTTCACCTACTTGATGAATAATAATTTCACCTGAATTTAGGTAAAAAGTAATTAAAAATTCAAACATCATAAAAGAAAATTCAACCAACCCATCAAATAGACATGTAATGAACTAATTACCAATTTCCACTTCAGAAAACAGATTCAGAAGTGGAAAAAAGTCAATTCAACTCGGTCATTCAATGAACTTTCAGAATTCTCAAATGATAATAATAATAATATCGTTTATTATGCATAAAAAATAAATTTATACATGAAAGTAAAAGGGTTAGCCNGCCAAAGGCTATCTTCCACCTCTCCCAAAAATTATACAGAGTGTAAGAAAATAATTATAAAAATACTTATTCACCATCATAGCAATGATAGAGAAGGAAAAAATTATAGATCATATAGTTGCTAGTAACTCATAATATTCTTAACATTATTTTGGTCAATTTAAGAATTTCATTGCATTACCATACATTGAATTTTAAAATTTTCAAATTAGCACACTAAAAGTGGTAAAATTTCATTCAGATAAGAAGGGGCTATATAAGAAAAACATCCTCCAAAATAGAAGTACGGTGCCTAGGTATGTTGAATGAGTTGATTCTCAAATTGCCTGCTTAATAAACTATATAAATAACTAGGTGTTTTAGTTTGAATTACTTAAACAAACATTTTTTTATCAAATATTGGACACTGTACCTCACATTCAACTTCTTCATTTCGAACAAAAATTATGTGACATGTTCACCACGTGGTATACAGCATACAAATCGCATGCAAGCATTTTGTATACGTTGTAACTTCTGCTTGTTATATTGCGGCAAAAAATTGTAATACACCTAACAACAATACTCGATATGGGGGTAAATGAGAGTTTCAACTTACCTGAGTTTCATTTCTTCTAATAACTGATACTTGAATTTGTATAGCGATTTGAGTTTGAAGAATGATACTTTGAAAATGTTTGTCACATGTTCATGGAAAGACAAAGAGCTATTTATGGTTACGCCAAGATTTTTAGCATTGTCTACCCAGTCAATGTCTGCTTTGTCGAGAGTGAGCCTAAAGTTACACTGAGTTTCTACCATTTGTCTTTGAGATCCTATGCATGAGGCCAAAGTTTCATTTGGATTGATTTTCAGTCCATGATTCTCCAAGTAAAGGAATGTTTTGTGCAAATCTGTGTTTATATTGGCCACGCAACTTTCTGTATCGGTGTTATGAGAAGACAAATATAACTGTATATCATCTGCGTATAGATGTACTTGACAATGTGATAAGAAAGTGGGGTAATCAAAAATAAACAGTGAAAACATCAAGGGTCCTAAAATACTTCCCTGCGGTACACCTGAGATTGTTTCTTTTAGGGGTGACCATGAGTAATTATCCAGTTTGACCCTCTGTGATCGGCCTGTGATATAACTGGCCATTCATTTGAGAGAAATGTCATCAAATCCTATGAACTTGAGCTTGCTGATGAGTAAATCGAAATCAACTAAATCGAAAGTTTTACTTTAATCAAGTAGTACTAAAATGGTGACTTTTGATTGATCTCTGAATTTCGCAAGATCATCGATTACTTTCAAGAGGGCAGTCTGTGTTCCGTGTTTTTTGCGGAACCCAGACTGCTCGTACGGGAGTATTCGATTTTCTTCAAGAAAATCTCTTATTAGCAACGTTCCAAACATCTGGAACAATACCCTGTCTGTAGGACTCGTTGAAAATATGTTCAACTTCATCAATACAGTGTGGTATCACTAAAGGAATCCTCTTGATATTTATATTGTCAATACCTAAAGCATTAGATTTTATTTCTTTGATAGCAGTCAAAATATCATCATCACATATTATTATATCGGTGAGGGAAAAGTTCATAGGAGCGTTCAATTCATTATCATTGTAGAATGAAAGAGTGTTATTATTTACTATTGAATGTCCAGCCACGTTTAAAAAATAGTCATTGGTTTCTTCAGGTCTACGTAGATCAATTGGCAGGCTATTGGTTTGCGAGGATGATTTTGTAGTCTTCAAGATTTCTCCATGTCAGTTTTGAATTGTTTTTATTTTTGTTCAAAACACATTGTATATATGCTGTTTTTTCACGCTTTTTCACGTTCAATTCCTAAAAATTCCAAATAATCGAGTTTCAAGCCTTTCCCTTCCAAATGGAAGGGACAGGGCAGGACAGGCACCTGAACAAAAACTCTAACCACCAGCCACAACAAAAGAGAGGGGTAATTAGAACGTCGGTTGAGAGAGCACGACGTATTTGTGAACCTTATAGTCTTCCTGAAGAACTCAATTACCCGAAAAATGCTTTCAAACGGAATGGGTACAGTCAAGGACAATTCAAACAGGCCATACGACCCAGGAGGCTAGTCATGGGAAAAGCTTCCCTTTTCCGTGTTAAAAATATTACAGACCGGATTGGGGGAATCTTAGAAGAACACAATGTGAAACTAAAATTTTGGACAACAAAAACTATCAGATAAAGTCTAAGGTCAGTGGACTCTCGAAGGAACCTCAGGTATCAATAAATAATCTGAAAACAAATACGGGGCAGTATACAAAAACCGGAGAAGATACTATCAGAGAGCTTTTCCTGGTACACTTTCCCGGGTCAGAAATTACAAATCTAACACCGGAGTCCTGAGCGAATTCAGAACTGGAGACCCCGAAAAGGACATCCAGAAAGGACTGGCAAATGACAAAAGGTGATAGATATGGAGAAAATTAAATGGGCTGTAAACTCATTTCAACCCTATAAGTCGCCGGGACCTGATGGCATATACCCAGTAATGCTTCAAAAGGGACTGGAAGTACTTTCCAAAAAATTGTGTATAATTCTCAGGGCAAGCTTAGCACTGGGACACATACCAAAAAGTTGGAGACTGATTAGGGCCACCTTCATTTCTGATCCTAGGAAAATCGGACAGGACTCGGTGAAGGCTTTGAGATCAATTAGTCTCATGTCATTTGCGTTGAAAACGCTAGAAAAACTACTTGACAGGCATATCAGGGACGTATCACTGGCTATCAGACCATTACATCGATACCAATATGCATACAGGTCAGGTATACAGATCAGATTATGCAACGAAGGGGTAGAAGCAGCTCTACACATCTTATGCGAATGTGAGGCACTAAATCACAGGAGGCAGGCAATACATGGACGTACAAAATTACGCCCAGAAGAATATGACGAACATCCAACACGGAACCTGTAAAAACTAGTACAGGGAACGAGACTGATGGAATGGGTGTCATGAGAAGATGGGAGAATAAATGCGATAAGCCCAAGAGGCTGCAGTGTTTTCTGGAGACTTGGACTAAATGGACAAGTCCTACAGCTCCCAAGGTAAAAAAAGGTCAGTTGAGGACCCCCAGAGAACCTTTAGTAACACCCGGGCTATACCAAGTTCCTTTTAACTAAGGGTCGGTCTACCTGGACCCACCAAAAGAAGTATGGGTACGCGTCTCTTTGAACACAAGAGAAAGTTGTCAACTCGGGCAAACCGATAATATAAAACCAGAGTCAAATACAGAGTCCAAAACGCGTGTACTCGGTACATCTGTAATATCAAATACCGGGAGAATGTGACACCTCTAATTAATGACATCGGATGGTTGAAAATGCATAATAGACGTGAGTTGCATCAAGTATATTTTCTTTTCAAACTATATGTTATGATTTGCTAACCCTAACCCTAAGTCATCAAGTTCTTAACAGATACCTTAGAACAGTTACCACCCTCACCATACCCAAACATTTCACTGCTGAAAAATCGTTCACATATCAGGCTGCTACCACTTTCAATATATATCGTAAATATATAATACCACAACCATGTTTACCGTTCAAAAAAATAAAGACGATAATATTCGGTAAACAGTGATCAAAACAATCTGTAAGACGTTATTTCATCTTTCAATAACATACTTTCATTTGTGTTTCATGACCATATACTAATTTGTAAAGTGTACANGTCCGGCACAGCACAGTAAGGCCCGTCTCGTTAAAATACGTATAGGATTGAAACAATGAAAATAAATGGACAACCGCTCGCTAGCCCGGCACGGTACAGCCAAGAGCGGCCGCCGTCAGAAAGGATTCCAGCTCTTCGATCCGGTCCGACATAGCCTATAAAATTTTTACTAAATTGGAAAATATTGGAAATATTGACAATTTCTAGACAAATATTTTTGTAGGTCTCAAGTGAATCTAACAAATGACTTGAAGTATTTTCTCAACTTGACAGCTTGATTGTAGCATCCACATTATTAGTATTCAATTTTAATTTGAATACTTTTTTATGAAATCTAGCTTGTACTATCTATATAATTGTTGTTGTTCGGAACCAAGTATTTTTAATTGACAACTACAAAATATAAAATTGAATTCACTACCATTCGATTCATGTTTGGTTGTAGGATTCACTTAATTACTTTTTTCACACTTTTGAAAGTCTTCAACTCTCAAACACCGTCTTTTTCATTCAACGAACATCTTTAAATTTACTTGTTTTGCTTATCTTATTTATTTGTATCTATACACAGCTCCTGTTTGAAAAATTAGTGTGATCAGTTATGTTGTTCGGACACTTTCATTAACAATATTAATTACCTCACGCGAAGAGAAGAAAATAATTACATCTCTGAACGATAAATATTTTATTCATGAAAAACCAACTCACTGACAGCAACTACATATTCATTCAGAAGAACTTAGGATATTGGAAATATTAATGATACCCATACAACTAAAAACTATGCGTTTTCTTGAGACTGTATATAATAAGAAATATGTATGTGCGATTCATCTAAGTTGACTCAAAAACTGTTACAAGACCGGACAATAGAAAAATTTAATGTATTATTAAAAGGCAAATTACTCGTAGCTCGTGGGAATGAACATATCTAACAATTGAAAACATTCTTCAACACTGGGTTATATTTTATCATTATTCTTGGTCTGAATTTCACCTTCAAGCTTCACATCAGACTGAAATTATCCCATCCATCTTGTTTTTTATGATATTTTTTGAAGAAAACACTTATGTTTCAATAGCTTCTTACCTCATAATAAACAGTCGTGAAAAAACATGTGTTGCTGTTTTGTAAACTGTTCAGTGAAAAGCTCACCAAATTGCAGCTGACTGAACTTTTTACTGGATATTTTTATATCGGGGAATAATTCCTGTAAAATACCAGCAAATATGAAAGTTGTTTTTTCATTTTATTATTGAATTACAAGCTTTTATCATAACTTACGCAATGTCTATATGTGTTTAAGTATGCATGACTGCATGCATGTATGTATGTATGCATGCCTGCATGCATGTATGTATGTATGCAGGTACTATGTATATATAGTGTATTCCATTTAAAACGAACTATCCTGAATAACTTTTAGTAAAATGATTTTCAGGAAAAATTAAAAAAAACACGTCAATCATAGTACACAGGGGGACACATTTTGACATATTCACATTTGATGTTACTTCCCCTATCGCACCCCCAGAGCATGTCACCAATTTTTTTTAAATGGATCACCCTATATTGTTTCGCATTATCAGATGTTCCATGATGAGCGATTTCAACAAAGTATAAAATATATGGTCTGAAGTTTGTGGTTAGGGAACTACAAATTATTTGAGTTCAAAATTAGCCACCCTGAATAACTTTTGGAACAATGATTCTCAGGAAAAATGAAAAAACACCTCAACAGTAGTATACAGGGGGCACATTTTGACATATTTACATTTGATCTACATTTCCCTATCGCACCCCCAGAGCATGTCACCATTTTTTTTAATAGATCAATTGTTTTGCATTATCAGATATTCCATAATGAACAGATTTCAGCAAAGTAGAATACATCATGGTCTGAAGCTCATAGTTTGAAAGCGAGCCACCCTGAATGAACTTCTGTACAATCTGTTACCTATGTTTCATAGGTATTTTTGTGAAGTATACTTCAAAAAAGTATTATTTTGCCTAGTTAAGTTTGAATTCTATATACTCTTCATTTTGTATTTATCTCATTCTACAATAACCTCATACCAGGTGAAGTTACAATTGGTGTTTCTGTTTTTGTGAATTCTTGAGAAGCAATGGTTTATATTCTTCGAGAACGAATTGAAATAGTGAGTTTGTACTACCAGAATGGAAATAGCGCTAGAGCTGCTGCGCATATGTTCAATAATAATCATCCAGGAAGAAATGTACGACACAAATACGTTTCGGAACTATTGAACAAATTTATGGAAACTGGATCTGTTAAAAATAAAAAGCATAATCGTTCATGAGCTGTCAACGATGAAGCTATTTGTACTGCAGTTTTAGGGCACGTTGGACTAATGCAAAATTCACAATCTCTCTCTAAGTTATCTCGAGAATCAGGAATCAGTCGTACAAATGTTTTCATGAATTGAACGAAGATGATTTCGACAGAAGTATCGAGTTTTTTGAAAGTCTCACTGAACTTGCATCAGAATTTCTTGTATGAAATTTGTTTTTCAGATGAATATACGTTTAGTTTGAATAGAGATGTGAATTGGCAAAATTGTCGATATTGGTGTGATACGGATCCTCATTTATACCGTCAAGTTCGTATCCAACGACCTCAAGAACTGAATGTTTTGGCAGGAAGTTTAGGTGACCACGTCATATGATCTTTTTTATCTATGATAATTTGAGTAGTGATAAATATTCGGATATGTTGGAGAATCGAATAATACCGTGCATTAATAGGGCAATTGAGGAGGATATAAATTTATTCGAAAACGAAATAGTTTTTCAGCAGGATGATGCACCTACTCATTATGCAGATCCAGTGCGAGAATTTTTGGATGACTATTTTCTTGGTCGCTGAATTGGCATAAGAGGTCCTACAGAATGGCCGCCAAGGTCTCCGGATCTCACTCCTGTAGAGATCTTTCTGTGGGGTCATCTGAAATCTAAAGTGTATGAGAATCAACGACATTAGAAGATTTGAGAGAGAATATCATGAGGCACTGCAGAGAAATAACTCCAGAGATTCTCAACCATGTGAGGACGGCAATGGAACCTCGTTTATACCATTATATGGAAGTTGGTGAAAACGTTTTTGAACATTCACTATACAAATTTGTTTTCTTCTCATGGTCCACTCATCAGATTTTCAATCAAAAATCAATAAAAAATCTCTTTTTCAGATTTATTTCTTCCATATTTGTCTCTAGAATGAATATTTCAAAATGTAGCCTGCTGTATAATTGTTGACCTTTTTTTTATTTTTCCTGCAAACCATTGTTTCAAAAGTTATTCAAGGTGGCTCGTTTTCAAATCAAATAATTAGTAGCTACCGAACCATTAGCTTCAGACCATATGTTTATACTTTGTTGAAATCTGCTTATCATGGAGCAATATAGGGTGATCCATTCAAAAAAATCGCATTATCGTCTTGTATTGTCTCAAGGTAGACAGATACTATTTCAAAATTGAAGTTCCTAGTTGTGAACGTAATTCACAGTTCATAGTTCACTATGACAAAAAATATAGGAATATATTCCCTGCTATTCGTGCGAAGATTGATCGTGTCGCTAGCACATAATAATAACTTCCATTTGAATTGATTCATTCTTCATTGTTTTAAATGAAGTTCAGTTTGATCGATTTAAAAAACAACTATTGTTTCATTATTCCTGACACTGTCAATCTCACTTCAAAAATGCAACTATTGTTTCATTATTCCTGACAGTGCCAATATCACTTCAAAAATATATTTCCTTTCAGATGAAGGAGTTTCCAAAACATTCACCTGTGCCCGAGTTTTGACTGGACAACACGTATTCTTACAACTGGTCGGAGTGGAAGGTTCATTGTCATTATGCGAAGTTGAAGTTTTTTCATCAGACGGTGAGTAATTATACTTGATAAGGTAAGACGGGTCAAGTGCAAACATTATATTCATCAATTTTAAGTTTGAAATAAAAAACTGGACGCGGTTTGGTGACTGAGTCCGAAGCGAACTCACGCTTATTCACCAGTGAATGTCAACACCACCTCTATTGAAAGCATTATCAGTCAGCTGCAAAGTAAAGCTCGTGAAAGTAGATAACTTGGCGAATCTTAGTCCAATTTTGAAATTCGAAAATGGGAAATGATTACCAAAACAAAAGTTAAACGTATCCTCAAATCAGGAAAAAGATACTATGACGAATTACAGTCAAATTTCGATTCTGTCAGTTTCATTTAAACCAATTAACAGAACAATTCAAAAGCATCTGAACAACTGGAAAAAACCACAGCTTGGCAAATCTAGCTGTGCCTCTAGGTTTGTTCTGGTTTTAACATCCGAAACTGTTTCGAAACTGCGCAAGACATGATGCGTACAAACAAAAAGTCTCATACAGTCCGAAATAGTATCGGACACTTGGTTAAAACAGAACGCATTTTGAGGAGACAACTGTGCCACCTATCGTATATATGGAGAGATGAAGACGATAAAATACTGTTGATCATATCCATTTTGTTATGTAGCGTATCCTTGTAGTCAATTCAAACGTAATCTAACCTCAATCATCAATTATTTAAATCAAATAAATAAAAAAACATCCTAGAAAATAGCCCGAACAAATTTTCACATGAATGCGCATGAGCAACGGGAACAGTTCTCAACAGTTCAGTCTCAAGAGCAAGTACGATTCGGGACGGATCATTTCGCAGTCGAAACCAGAACAGAAGATTCATCAATCCGAACTTATCCTCAATAAACCAGAATTCTCTTTATCAACTGCGCATGATCCTGACGTCCTAGAACCTGAATTTCGTAGAACCAGAACAAACCTTCTGAATATTAAATGCGTAGTGAATCAGCCGGCGAAATAGGGTGGGAGCTCATTAACATCGAGAACCTCGAGTAGTCAACATCGTGTTAGTACAGTGGGTGGAGAAATTATTTTGTGTGGTGAACCGTACTATCTGGTAGTGGATGATTACCATCTCTCTTTATTGTTCGCGCAACTCAAAGAAACATCTAGATTTTCCAAGCTGTAATTAACTTCATAATAGACAACATGGTTTTCGAAGCCCTACTGATACAAATTCAGCAGTAGTCGATGCTGGTACTCAATTTCAACTTGACTTGGAATCTTACGAAAAATATGGTGTTCTGTCACCGTCGATTCGAAAATTCTACCAAGTATCATCCATCCAAGAGAAATGAGAGTAGATAGATATACATTCAATGTCATAAGAAATACATCTTGTCGACAAACATGTTTCTACTGAATATTACTGGAGTTTTTTTCCAACACCAAACCGTTATTTGAACACCTCGACACGTGTTTCAATCATCAAGTGATTATCTTCAAGAGAAAGATCATACTGAACATACTGAAAAAGTTATCCTTATTCATACCATAGATACATCTTCTAGGTACCTGCGTCTTAAGGGTCTTAAATTAATTTCACAATATTGCGTTATCTACTAGTCTTAAATTAATTTTACAATGTAACAATATGTAATAGTCAGATAAATCTAATAGTCAAAATATACTATTAGCTATATAGTAAACTATTAGATATTGGTCCAACATCGTTATTCATAATATTATTATGTTTACTTATTTCTACACTCTCATATGCATATAAATGCCTGTTGTTATTAACTTGTCCAACTAATCTTAATGAACTTGAAGTATATGGAATGGTTTCAGGTCTTCTATATTTCAAGTGTGCTAAGCGTTCCTTACATCTTATTTCCGAAAAACCGACTTTGTCTTTTGGACTTCCTGAAAGGCTCTGTAGTGTATAACTTGTTTTAAAAACCACCTTCATACCTAGTTTCTTGAAAATCTTTCCAAAGTTCTTCGTGTATTGGTGGTATGGAACTGAGATATATTTATCTTGGTTTTTGTCGTTTTTAAAAGTCGAGATTTCGTTCATTCTTAACCTAAACTTCTTCATCTACAATACCCCTTGAGAAACCGTTAGTGGCTGATATTTCCTGTATTATACGTTTTCCTTTTGTGAACCTCTCATGTGTGAGAGAAAAAGTCAAAAGATGATGCACTAGAAAATTCAGCCCAGCACATTTGTGTTGTCCACAGTGATATGAACTGTACGTTCTTACAGAACCATGTTTTTGTATGTTGTATGAACTCTAAGGAGTTTTTTATACTAAAACCTGGTTCCGCAATAGACAAGCCTTCAAATTCCTTAGTGAGCCATTCTGCTATTTGGTAGGTAGGAGACCAAAAGCTGACACGATGGGGCGCATTGATTTTCCCGGTTTGTGGATTTTTCAGAGGCAGGTGGGTTGGAAACTTGTTCCGTTTCACTTGAGGGGTAAGTATGTTGTCGAATTTCTTGAGAACGTCTTTTACTTCGGCAACGGGTTCCTGGACAATTTCGCATGTGGTCCGTTAGTGATGAGAATATTGACCCTTTCGTAGTAGTCCGATTTATCCAGAATTACTACTTTGTTGCCTTTGTCGGTTTTCAAATAGAAAACTTCTTTGTCTTTCAATCGTTTGGTAAGTTTTTTTTGTTTTTTATCGTCGTTTATTAAATGTTTCCGTTTATCTGTTATCATGTTCCTGGAGATTTGATTCCTGACTTTCTCCCGAACTAGTCCCTTCGAGGAATCGGGCATATATTGAATCGAACTTATCGAAGCCGAAGTAAGTTANTGATATGTATATGTAGGAACCTTCAATTGGCAAGCCTGTCTAGCATTGTGGTAAAGCTGAGAAGTGAAGGTACCTTTGTTATCGTGTTGATTCAAGAACAGTGTGTTATTAGTGTTTTTGTTTTCCTAAAACCCAAATTGATGAGAAGTGATTATTTTGTTTATATTGAGATGGTTATTAAGTTTTTTTTAACTAATTTTTCAATCAACTTTGCTAGAGTTGGTTGTAAAGATATTTGTCTTAGGTGTGATGGATCATCAAGTAGAAAACAATACCAGCGAAAAATGTAGGTCTCCCGAGACGTTTTTCGGGGGTCCATTCTTAACCTTCTACTTTTTTCATATACATAAACTCCTACAGATGACATATCTAGAGCAGAGCTTCTTAAACTTTTTTATTCACGACCCCATTTATAATTGCGAGTTTCCTGACGACTCCATATAAGTATAAAAGATAATTGCATTTTTTACAATAACATGAATCAAAGAGAATTCTGACCGTCTGCAAGGAAAAAATTCAATGAGATGGATGTGCCTGTTTTTTATTTCTTGATAACAAATTGAATTTTGTTGGAATGTTTGACACTGCTGGACGTAAGACGTCTTCAACATTTTTTAGTGATGAACGATATTGGAATTTGATATGTATTAAAGCTGACAAAGTAACTTCACATAAATATCTGGTGTTTAATGGCAGAAGAACATTTAACGCCATATCAGCGATTGTGGGAAATTCAGTTCTAGTTATGATCCGGAATTCAGTCAAGGGTTTTTTGGAAATTGTAGTTTTAAGTTTGAGTCACTCGAAAGCTCACCAAATACCTCTTGAGCTTCAAGTGGCAGATAATCAATCTTACTTAAGCCAATCCAAAAGAGCTTTTTCGAATCCAAGCTACCTTTTTGAAATCAATATTTAACATAAAATATGTACGGAACTGTGTTTCTAACGCTTTTAAGTGGCCTATAATTGACACTGGAAAACATTTCAAACGAATTTTTTATACTTTTGTCTTTTTTTTGATCTTTTAAATGAAACTTTCAATATTATCATCCGAAGTAAATATATCGCAAAGAGAGAAATTGAGATCGTTTGATTTCGCAAAGATTTCTGACAAATAACACCACTTGAATACCCATTAGTCATTTTGAAAAAAAGCAGCAATTTCACATTTTCGTTCGGATAAAAATATTTAGATTTCATCCTTTAATGAACAATAATCTACTTAAACTTTGACCTCTTGACAACCATCTTTCTTCTGCGTGTAATAATAAAGTTGTGTAGTTTGAATTCGTATCCTCACAGATATTTGAAAATTTTTGGGGGTCGTTTCAAGGCTCCTTTTCGTTGTTCCGATGTAGAACAAACCACAACTAGATTTGGTACACTCCTGGGGTACTAAATGGATCCCGGGGTCTTTTGCTGACCTGAGACGATTCCTTATTCTTCTTTTGGACTTAAATGACCCTAACTCCATGTTCGAATTGTGTCAATGTACCTCTGAGAAAGTAGTTATTTTCCTTCAAATTATAAAATTGAAAAAAATTGGATGACCTACACATTTTAAATATTTGTAAAGGAAAAAACAATTGAGTATAGGTAGCGTCATATGGAAGTTTTTTTTCAAATTCAATCCTTCCTGTTCTTCTGTACTATGTTTGTTTCCCATACAGAGTTTGCTGTGGATCGATGCATTCCAAAAACCTCTCCAGACGGAACAGAAATCGCCACCTTCGCCCAAACGTGCTACAAATTCGGCGTTGACAAAGGGGGATCCTTCGCCGATGCCAGGACATACTGCAAAAAGCATTACGGGGACATGATGCACTCGATGACACCGGCGCAAAACTCTTTTCTTCACGCGGAACTGGACAGAAGGAAATCGAAGTTGCAGACGCAGTTGGTTTGGATTGGAGCTCAGAAGGAGCCCGGAGTGATTTCGAGGACTTGGAAGTGGGTTAACGGTGCGTATGAGTTTTAGGTGTCTGTGTCTTTTATTGTTTTCAATATCCAATTTCTATTCAACTGACTTTGATGTCATTGACTTTGAATATTCAACGCCCCAAGTAAAATATATTCATTTAAAAATTAAACAGAAAGGGGGGGTCTTATGATACATCTTTTTGAAGCTCCTGACAAATGCTTCACAACCCTAAAATATAATGTCAATATCTTCAACTACAACAAAATGGCGGATTTTTTTATAATTGCCTGAATACATTGACATTTAACTACATAATATGAGGTATTAAGCTTGAGGTCAGTTCCGAAGATGCTCGAAATGGTTGCCTTGAACTTCTTGACATATGAACAGCCTATTCGATATTTCACGCCGAACATTATCGAACACAGTAACGTCAATGTCTCTACAAATATTTATTATTCTCTGCCGTATATCCAATATTGAAGCAGGTTCAGTTTCGTAAACCTTATGCTTCAAATAGACCCATAAAAAAAGTCCAAATGTGTCAAATCTGGCGAACAGGTTGGCCATTCTGTAGGACATCGATAGCCTATCCATTTTAATTTTGTATGGATGATACCTATTCCTCTTCGAAAGTATCCACACAGTAGAAGGAGACACCTCACAAACATTCGCGACGGAATAAGTACTGTTCAGGATTTACTACCATCTTACAATTATTTGCACTTTCCTCAAATATTTTCTACAAATAGGAAGATTCGAAAAACGTTCATTGAAAATCATTTCGGTCTCGTGAAAGTTACGCATCGCATTGTAAATAAAAGCCGCTTCAATTTTCTCTTCCAATGGACGAAAATTGACCATTTTAGAGATTGTTGACGTGGTACCTTTCTACTAGTAAAACCGAAAACTAAATGAAAATATTCTAATTGAACAATGATGTTCATTGTCGTACCTACTGACATCTTTTCGTTTTTATAAACAAAAAATAACTTAACAATCCTTATCGGGTTGTTGGAATTGCCATATGGCAGATAAAAAGGAATATTTCTAGAAATATCGATATTAATGTGTTGGTCTTCAGGAAATTATTAAATGTATATCATTG